CGAGAGTGCAGGGTTTGCAGTGGGCTCTGCTGGTCCTTTGCAAGGACCCAGGAGAGCAAAGTCTGGACCTGAGATGGGGGTTCCGGTGTCAGCGTGCAGCCGACTCCAGCAGTGAGCCCCGGCAAGCTGTGCCTGCCCGGGTCATCCCTGCCCGTATGGTCCCTGACGGCTCCTTCTAGTGCCCACATCCCTGCCGTGGGCCCAGCTTACAAGGAGGAGCCATCGAATGCCCTTTGGGGGTGGGGGAGGTGTGGACAGGAAGCGGTCCAGGCACACCTTTGTGAAAATGTTCAGCGAACCGTGCAAGCCCCGAGCCCGACACTCCGACTTTGGGAATAACTTGTGACCTCTGTCTTGTAGGAAGATATGGCCGCTCACGTTGGAGCTTCCCGCACCCCCCAGGAGGTGATGGAGCATTACGTAAGCATGTACATCCACGGAAACCTGGGGAAAGCCTGCATCCCCGACACCATCCCCAACCGGGTGACCGACCACACGTGCCCCAGCGGAGGGCCCCTCTCTCCCAGCCTCACCACCCCCTTGCCTCCCCTAGACATCTCGGTGGCCGAGCAGCAGCAGCTGGGCTACATGCCGCTGCGCGACGACTACGAGATCGAGTACGACCAGGACGCCGAGACGCTCATCAGCGGGCTCTCGGTCAACTACGACGACGAGGACGTGGAGATCGAGCTGAAGCGCGCGCACGTGGACATGTACGTGCGCAAGCTCAGGGAGAGGCAGCGGCGCAAGAACATCGCCCGCGACTACAACCTGGTGCCCGCCTTCCTGGGCAAGGACAAGAAGGACAAGGAGCGGCCGGCCAAGCGCAAGATCACCAAGGAGGAGAAGGAGCTGCGGCTGAAGCTGCGGCCGCTCTACCAGTTCATGTCGTGCAAGGAGTTCGACGACCTGTTCGAGAACATGCACAAGGAGAAGATGCTGCGGGCCAAGATCCGCGAGCTGCAGCGCTACCGGCGCAACGGCATCACGAAGATGGAAGAGTCGGCCGAGTACGAGGCGGCGCGGCACAAGCGTGAGAAGCGGAAGGAGAACAAGAGCGCGGCGGGCGCCCGGCGGGGCAGGGAGGACGGCAAGGACGGCGAGTTTGCGGCCATCGAGAACCTGCCCGGCTTCGAGCTCCTGTCCGACCGCGAGAAGGTGCTCTGCAGCTCCCTGAACCTGAGCCCCGCGCGCTACGTGACCGTGAAGACGATCATCATCAAAGACCACCTGCAGAAGCGACAGGGGATTCCCTCCAAAAGTCGCCTGCCTAGCTATTTGGACAAAGTGCTAAAGAAAAGGATTTTAAATTTCCTCACGGAAAGTGGTTGGATCTCCAGGGACGCCTCCTGAAGCGGCAGCGTGGAGAGTCGGGGCAGCGTGGAGAGTCGGGGCGCGGCTCCGGGAGCCAGGAGGGCCGGGGGTGAGGGTGGGGGAAGGAAACGCTTTTCCCCCCACCCGTTGTTGCTCTTTTTTAAGCAAATTGAGTTCCTTTCTTGTAGGCTATAAATTCTTTTCGTGGTCCTCTGAAAGAAGCAATAGTAACGATTTTACGTCGGATCACGGGGGACGCCGATACAGGTCTATTTTAACGTAGTCCTAAGGTGATACCTTAAGGTGACGATTGGCCTTTATGTTCAGTCTGGGGTTATGAGATTGGGTAATTTCCTTTTGCGTCTTCCCTTTGGTACGCAACTCGTGCTGTGGGTAAGAGGAGCGACTTTCCGCCCGCCAGCTGCCAGCTTTACCCTGTGACATGACCTGTGGCTGGTGCTGGGGGCTCCCTTGGAGGTGGGGGGGGGGGTATGGCCACCCACGCGGACACCCCAGCACAGCCCCAGCACACGGCACTTTAGGTGGGGGCCAGGGTGGGGCAGGTGGGAAGTGAGGCCGGAGAAGCACGGGAAGTTTCCACATAAGCTTTAGAGGAAGACTCTGGGGTTGAACAGGGTCCAGATGAGCTTCTCCTTGACTGTCGGCAGCGTGGGGTTCCAGCTTGTAGTTCCCAAGTCGGGAAACCGCCCCTTGCCCCGTTTCCGCTCACTTTGGGCAGGCACGGGAGCCCTGGGCAGGCTCCCTTGTGTGCGGAAGGGGCCAGGGGGGAGCTTGGGTGCGGGAGGGTTAGCATGGGTGCCGGGATTGAGCCAGCTCAGGGGGCTGCTGCTTGCTGCTCTAATGCTTGCGACGCGTCTTACTCGGAAGAACTCGTTCTAGAAGGTTTACGCCTCTGAGTTCTGGAGTACACTTTCTCCAGGATTTTCATCGCGGTCGCAGTTACCTTTTTCCGCTGAAACTGACCTTGACTGTGCTAGCTTGGCTCAAGCATCTTCAGGTGGTGGCCGGCGCTCTGCAGACCAGCCGGCTGGACTGGGCTGCTCACACAGCAGGGTCTGGCGGAGCAGGAAGGAGTCTGGAGGGCAAGGCCCTGCCTTGCTCCTCTGGGTCCCGGTCTTGGACCGCTCGCCTCGGCTTTTGCCCAGGGCCCTCATTCATGGATATACACGGTACCTTCCTTCTGGAACTTGAGTCATTTGTCTTCCTGCTGCTCAGGGTTGGTTCTCATGTCTTAAGACCCTGCTTTAGAGTCAGAGTGACCGCAGACCCCAGCACCCCATTCTTCCTGGAGCTCATCCTGCCTCTCCTGCCCCCATAGCTACCAAGAGACTTGACCTTCCAGAATGTTTGGGCTTGAAGTTAACATTAAAGTGAAGTTATTTGAAAGACAAGAGAAAAAAAGACCCTCATCATTTCCAAGGACTTAATTACGGTGCCTTTTCCTTTCTTTTTACACCCTCCTGTCCCCCAGGGTAAATTTTTCAGCATTAAATAAAACATTTCAAATATACTGTATGTGGCTTTAGTTGTAAAGTACATTGCATGCTGGCAGAAAGCGCTCCGTTAGCTAAGCCCAGGACTTCTCTGTGGACAGAAGGGAAAAAACCAGTGAGCAGTAGTACTACTCACAAGGCCACCTCTGCATCGTCCCCCCTCCCCCACCACCCTGCCCGCAGGGTAACTATGGTTGGCAGAGGGCAGTGCCATCTACCACGGAGCAGTGATGGAGATGGTGCTTAGTGTTGACGGGAGTCTTAGCCAGTGATTCTCACCTGAAGCTCCTGGACCAGCAGCATCTGTCCTGGGAACCTGCTGGAATTGCGGACCCTTGGGTCCCGCCCAGCCCTGGAGATTTGGAAACTGTAGGGCTGGGGCCCTTAGAGCAGGTTTTTTTTGAGTCTTCCAAGTGCCTGGGATGCAAGCTGTTAGCTACTCTGCTGTTGGCATTCATTGGATGTTCTACATCCGGTTCCTGGTTTGGTGAGGTTGCCAGACTTAAGCTTAAGAAGCAAAAGATCCCTGCCAATGTGTGGCCTAGGCCAAGGGCTATCAAATGAAAAATGTTGTGCTTATGCAAGTTTTTAGTGTATGTATCTTTTGGAGAGTAAGAAGAATTTATTTAGGCTTGACTGTTTTAAAACAGTGAATGCCTAACTTACGCTAAAGTACTAACACAACAATGTGTTATGAGCAAAAGTGACTTTATCATGGGTTGCCTCTGACCCCATCAACTCCAGCTGTTACGGTCACGCTAGTCCTTACTGCTCCTGCTGGCTCAGAGTCCTTGAGTTTCCATATGTAATGCTCCTGAAAAATTAGCCCCCATAATCCCATGGAATTGGTTTTCAAAATTTAAACAGACTTTGAGCCAAGAAAGTTAGGTAATCCAGTTATTCAAAAGAATGTTTTCCGGATGGCCGACATCCCAGGAATGTGTAAAACCCCGAACTCTACAATTTTTATCACCTTTTACATATTCACACGTTGGGAACAAAGTGGGGTCAGTGCTCCTCAAGCTGCAGGTGTGAGACAGCTTACGGAGTCAGGATGGGGTCAGCGTGGGACAGGCTTTAGCTCAGCACTTGTGTCAGACCAGTTTTCCCTCCAAAGTGTTAACTTTGCTTTGTTAGGCGGCCCTCTTTCCCTGAAGGTGGCGGTTCACCCATGAGGTGCGTCCAGCCCGGAGCCAGGCCGCGAAGGCTCCTCGTGAGCAGACTGTGCCGGCTCGATGGTCTGCACTGAACGCGTCCAGCCTGCAGTTCCGCAAACCCCAGGAGAATGCAGTCACCGATCTGATTTCCAGTGTAAACAGGCATGTAATTAAATGTGTCCCCACTGGTGGCGACACTGTGGTGAGACGCAGTCCAGCCGTCCACCTCTCGGCCTCAGCTCTCAGCAGCGGCAGCTCCAGCTCCAGTCGACAAGGGAGGGGGCTGCACCCGTTTGTAGAAATTCGTTTGAGAGTCACTCATGCCGCTTTGGTTTTACAGAGGAGTTCCGGGAAGGTGACCCGAGATATTCCCAGCTACACAAAGGGCAGAGCTGTGACCCCAGCTGGGTTTTCTCAGTGCACTACACTGACTGCAGTTCTGGGGCAAGTTTTTGACCAAGTAATTTAAGAGTGCTTAAAGGAAAAGAGAATGTTTTGAAGTGGTATAAATTAAAATTTTAATTATGGGAATATTACCTACATCTTTCAAAATACAAGCAAAATAAATTGCCCCACCTTTATATGCAGTAAATGAATTTAACAGTGTTGACCTTGACTCCTACAAATAGCTCCTGGAAGCAAAGGCAGTGGAAGGTTGGATTCTCTCTGGTTTGTAACGTCGCTCGCTCCACTTTTCTCTCCATGTGAATGAGGAGTGGAGGGGAGGTGTTCTGCTGCAGCTCCTGTGTGTGTGCAGTCCCCTTCCTGGTCCCCTTCCCAGGTCTGTGGGTGGAGACATCTGCCCCCAGCAGAGGCCCAGTTACATGCCAGCCTGTGGCTGCACCAGAGGGAAGCTGACCTGTGCGCGGACGTGGGCCAAGTACATGGCCTTGGGATTTGAGCAGAGAATGGGAAGACTAAGTCACACGTAGTAGGTGGATCCCCTCCACCAAAGTACACAAAACGGTTATCAGAAAGTAGGAAAATAAAACATATTAGGGCTTTAATCCTCTTAAATAAAATTTAAAAATTAAACATTAACATTTCAAATATACCAAGCATGCAGCTGTCAGATTCTGAGAAAGTCCACCTTACTAGGGAAAATAGCCTCCAGGCCATCAGTAACTAGCTAATACAGATCTGGACATTTCTACAAATAGATGAAAGAAACAGGGCAAAAGCGACCGGTTTTGTCAAATTCAGTTACCGGCAAAATAAGGTGGTGAGGGCTGTTCAGGTGCTCGTGCTCACTTCCCGTCTCCAGAGAAAAGCCGGAGGCCACTCACGGCAGCTAGACGGTAACCAACTGCAAACGAACCCACGTACCCCAGCAAGGGCATCGTGGAACTGTTCCGAGCAGGAACGTGCTTAAACCCTCGCCTTCCCTTCACTGGATGGAGGCAGCGGGCCGAGCACAGGGGCCAGCGTGTGCCACAGGGCAGCTGGGTGGCCAGCGTGGTTCCTGAAGACACGTACTTGGCTTACGACACGTGGACATCGCCAGGCCGTGAGCAGATCGAGCTCGTGTCATCCGTGACACTAGGCTCCAGTAGCGTCCCGCTGGCCTGTTCCGTAAGCATGTGGGGCTATTAAAGGTGTATTAAAAATCAATGAACAGACTCCCGAATTAGAGGTCATTCACACATCTGTGCAACCGGCTGAATTCTCTGTTTAGCCGCTGGTTACTACAGTTTTCCAACAAGATTTGGGAAAGGGTCAAAAGTAGAGAAGAGATGAGCCAACCTTTCAGGAGTTACAGCAAACGATCTCACAGGACCCAGGGCAGCCCTGCGGCGGCCGCTACGCCGCCTTCACCACCCCCACCAGGGCGGGCCGCAGGGTGCGCCCGTGTAGCTTGTAACCCACTTTGCTGACCAGCGCCACCGTGCCCGGCTCCTTCCCCTCCACCGGCGTGTGGAACAAGGCCTCATGCTCATAGGGGTCAAACTTGGCCCCCACGGGGTCCAGCCGGAGCAGGCCGTGCTTCGTGAACACCTTCTGGATCTGGAGCTCCGTCATCACGAGCCCCTCATACAGGTTCTTCAGGTGCGGGTTGTCGTCTTTAACCTCCTCCTTCGGGACACTCTGCGTCGCCTTCTCCAAGATGTCTGCGACCTCCAGCAGGTCCTTACAGAAGCCCTGGATGCCTAGATGAGGTGGAAAGACCTCGTCATCTGCATTCCCCGCCCACTGCTGCACAAGCTATTGAACGGTAGCCTTGCAAACCGTTCACCTGTCCTCGAATGTTCGTGGTATGTTTAGGGGGAAAAAAAAACCCCACCCCACAAAAACCAAAAACCTTTTCTGGGTTCGGACCAGAGCTAACTGGGCACGAAGGCAAACAGCTAACGACATGCAGAACCGCACCCCCTGCAGTGCTGCCCGGGCTGAGAAACCCCGCGCTCGCACACATCGCCCCGCGGACGTCACCGCTGCTGCCCACAAACCGCAGGCCGAGTGGGGCGGGGGCAGCTGCGCTGGGTCAAAGTCCCCCAGACGCACCCCGGGCCTTAACCTCACGTCACCTAACAGAAAAAACAACACAGGAGAAAAGGCATGCAAAATCCAAGGCGGTGTATCCCAGCGGGTGGTGTGCGGTTTCAGGACAACGTGTCAGATGCTGAGCGAAGCTGGGGGTGAGCGGAGCGCTCGAGCGGGGACCTCCCTCCCCCACGGCTCTGACGGGGCACGACGTGGCATCCCGTGCCTGGCTCTGCAGGAGGCAACACCTGTGTATGACTTCCTGTCACTTTCCCTCCTGCTTTAAAATGGAATTTAGGGGCGCCTGGGTGGCTCAGTCGGTTAGGCGTCCTGACTCTTGATTTCAGCTCAGGTCTTGGTCTCACGGTTTGTGAGATTGAGCACCGCATCGGGGCTGTGCTGACAGTCAAGAGCCTGCTTAGAATCCTCTCTCTCCCTTGCTCTCTGCCCCTCCCACGCCCTCGTGTACGCATTCGCTCTCAAACTCTTAATAAATAAGTAAAATGGAATTTGAAAATTCCTACCTAATAAAAACACGTGCGTCTATCGTGGATTAAGCTTGTGACAGTTCTTGGGGAACTGCCTGCCCTCACGGACTGGACGGTCTGAGAGACCGGCACCAGGTAATCCCACAGGTGACAAGTACGATTACAGACCACACCCCCAGAAGGAGCGTTCCAGGGCGCTGAGGAAAGATCCTACTAAGGGGCTACATTTAGACTGGAGAGTCAGGGGAGAGGTCTGTGAGCCAAGGCCTGAAGTTATCCAAACATCTGAGGACTGAAGAGCGGCCGCTCTACAGGGAAGAGGCGGGCCCAGAGTAGAGGAAGGTTCCAGATGGGTTAGCAGAACGGGTGGACATGTGTCCCAGCTGCACAGGCCCGCTTCGGTCTCAGCTGCAGACCACCCCAGTAAGGCAAACATCTCAAAAAAGAGAATCAAATGAATGTTGTGGTTTCTCAGAGCAAATCAAATTATGTTTATGCTGTAATCTATAAGTGTAAAATAGCATTATGTATAAAAAAACAGCATACCTTAAATAATATTTTTTCCCCAAAACCGCTAACCATCATTTGAGCTTTTGGTGGGTTGTAACCACAGACTGTAACAAACATAACAATAAAAAGGTGGAGACGTTGTGAGAATTACCAAAATGTGGCCCAGAGACATGAAGTGGGCAGATGCTGTTGGAAAAATGACTTGCTCAACATAGGGCTGCCACAAACCTTCAATCTGTAAAAAGCTGCATTATCTGCGAGGCGTAGTAAAGTGAGGTATGCCTGTGTTTTAAAATCCCTTTGGCTCAGACCAGGGCGCAGGCGGCAGAGGGAAGTGGACGGATGAGAGACCAGCCGTTCACCACTCGTGGGACGGGATGCGCGTGGGGCCAAGGGACAGGAAAGGGTAACTTCAGATTACTGATCTAAATAAGCACTAGGATGGATAACAGAATCATCTACTAAAATGAGAAAGAAAAGCACAGATAGAGCGAAAATCGAAATACCTGTGAGACATCCAGGTAAAGACGGGGAGCACACACAGGACACACAGGAGTAGAACTCAGAAGAAATGTCTGAGCCACAAAGAACCTGTGCGTGATGCCTTTCAGACCCACTGGAGGGCGAGTCTCCTGGGGAGCACGACAACAGGAGGGGAGGCCAAGCCCCAATCCCTGAAGGACCCAGGCATTTGAAGGCCAGGCAGATAAGAAGTCAACGAACGGCATTACCACCAAAAGGAATAAAAAATACTTTGAGAAGAGATCTGCTATCTGTTCGGTGTGGCAGCACGAGATCTGGATCTTGGTGTCCACTTGACTGTGTACCTACGGTGTGTCCCTGGGCAAAGTATTTAATGTCTCACTGTGAGCCCGAGGTGGTTCTAGAATGTGGGAGAATGGTGCCTGCCTGCCGGTTCCGTAAAAAGAGTTCAGCGAGTACTCAAATTGCAGCCTTATGTTCAACGGACACCACCACCATTTACTGGCTCCGTGACGCGTGGAGAGTCATTTAAGCCTCAATGACCTCGAGTGTAAAATGGGAAGGACAGTAACACGAGTATGTAAATGCTGACAGTGCAGACAGCTTAGATCTTTCTAACGGGTTACTGCTGAAGTAGCTAAAGAAAGATCATCAGGAAGGCCGACCTGCTGGAATTATCTGCAGGCTCAGACAACCTCAGGCTAACCAAGGTCTGCACGCAGTAGGGCAGTGAGCACACTCCTTACTGGAGGGATTACACCTAGAATTCTAGTGCGAGTTATAACCGTGACTTTTGCTCCTTACAACTTTACTGCTGACCCATTTCAACTAGAGAGAATGCACCCAGCAGCCGCTCCACTGCCTCACCCTGGCGGATTCTGCTGTCTGATACCCACAGACGCACTCCGCCCACCTTCCCCACCTCACAGTTCTCTAGGATTGATATCATATGGTGTTTAAAGTTACCGTATAATTTTGCCTCTTCCACCAATTTTTGGCTCCTCTGTCGCAAATTCTCAGTATCTGCCAAAGCTCGCTTATATTTTTCCTAAAAAAAAAAAAAAAACAGGAAATTTACATGAATGAATCATGGAACGAATTCATGAGAGCAAATCTGACATTAGCAAATTCCAAGTCAAAACACAGATAACATTTATCATGTTTGGGATTTTAGACCACAGGCAGTGCAGCTTAATACGCAGAAGTAAGTTATACCTGTGTCCTTATTTTCAATGCGTGGAGAGGAAAATGTCAAGGTGCCTCGCATTTATACTGCCCCCGTGTGCACAGCTGGGAAAGGGCGAGGAAAAACATCTACTTTCTCATGGCTCTGATGGTTTCATCACCCATCAAGGAAGGACCACTCACTTCCTCGGCACAATTTCCAACCTCAGGGGATCCTAGAAGGCTGGTTGGGGCTGACGCACCCAGTTTCCACACCTGAAGGGGTTGAGGAGAACCACAGCCCACCGAGGAGATAAAACCCCATCTGCGAACCTTCGATACTTTGAACGTTGCCCAGACGTGGCTCCATCCCAACATTTGCTGGGTAGCGATCACTGAACAATGGCGCCCTGTTCGTTTTTCCAATTTCCCCGTCATCGCGCTCATCTACTGAGCGCTCCTGCTTTAACATGGGCTCAGTTACTCTGGGGCCTCTACCCTCACCTGTCTTCCGTCTGCAGGCGGTTCTAGTGCCGTGGTTAAGAAGCCGGCTCTGGAGGCTCAAACCTTGGCTCTGCCACTCTGTAGCTAAGTGACCTGGGGAACTTCACCTAACCTTTCTTGGCCTCAGTTTCCCCATCTGTAACCAGGGATCTAACGGTTGGCTCACAGGGTGTTGTGAGGATTAATATACACAAGGTGGTAAGAACAGAGCCAGTATATAGCGTTTGATATTATCATTTGCAAATCCTTAAAGGTCCAGACTTGTGCCACCTATGCCTCTTCATGTGAAGTAACAATCAGTCTTTCTAACTAGTTCATGAAACCCCCTGCCTCCCTGGAAGAGCACAACCACCACACCTCTGGCCCCAACCCTGGTCTTCCCCTAAGACCCAGCTCACGTGCCAAAGTGAGTGTTCCTCACCTGTAAAGACCATCTCAAGTCTTAATTCAGTATAATCTATGCGGCGCGTGAAAATGATTCCCATGCCAGAACCAGAGCCACACAGGATTTGGGTTCTAGTCCCTTCTTCAGCAAGAAGCGGCTATAGGTCCCAACGGGCGAATGACCAAACTTATCCAAAGAACCTCGCCTGCAGTCCAACAGACCACACTCCCCACAAGAGCCTGTGCCACCTTACCACGGTCTCCTTCAGCTGCTCTTCTAGCTTGGCCTTCTCGTCCAGGAGTATCTTCTCTGTAGAGGGAGTATCTGTCTTCTGTTCATTTTGACCCACGTCCTCTTCCAGGTTCTGGCCACTGTTCTTCTGTTTCATAGCGGTGCACAACAGCCGAGGAGAGGATCTAAGATAAGTCCACAACGCTATGAATTAAGACTGTGGGTTTTTTGCTTAAAAGTCAGATGTGTGAGGGGCAACTGGATGGTTTGGTTGGTTAAGTGCCCAACTCTGGATTTCGGCTCAGGTCATGATCTCACTGTTCGTGAAATCGAGCTCTGCATCGGGCTCTGTGCTCAGAGTGCAAAGCCTGCTTGGGATTCTCCCTCTCCACTCTGCCCTCGCTTGCACATGTGCACACACACCCTCTCTCAAAATAGAAACATTTAAAAAAGGTATCTACAGACAAGGTACTATAATTTTGGGTTTAAACATGATAAAAGAAGAACCATGTGCTCCGGAAGGCTCAGAGTAGAATGTTTCTATCTTTGGGGAAATGGAAGACCGTGAAAGGCTTTGTGCAGAGGGGCTCTAAAGGACAGATAAGAGTTACGCATAAGGAGTCTGGATTGGAGGTAGGAAAGCGGAGGGATATACAGGGGGAAACAAAGAGCTCTGAAACGAATACTGGAAGTGACTTTAGATCTTATCCAATCTGACCCCCACAGGAAAAAGGTTAAGTCATAAGCCCAAGGTCACGAAGTTTTTAATGAATGACAGAATGGTCTTAAAACTCAGATTTCTTCCCAAATTTTGCAACACAGATTTCTCTTAAGAGTTGCTCTTAATTGTGCCGCAGTTCAATCTGAAAATAAACTCTAGTCAGTTTTCTTCCCAGATTAACTGCCTCAATGAAGCGGAGAGTTGTCAGTACGCAGAACACACGTACAAGGAGGTTTCCGGCAGCACAGCAACAGGCTGGGAACAGAGCGCTCGTCAGAGGGGACGTTGTTGGATAAACTGTTGCTTCCACAACACGGACTACTCCGCAGCCACCAAAAACAACGTCCGGCTCTCCTCTCTGGGACACGCTACAGCTGTACTGTGCGGTAACAGATGCAACGGATAGAAACCGGCAAAACGTGACGCCCTTTCTAAGGACGAACCAGAAATCCTGTGTACATACCCTGTGTCTCAGGCCCGGAGAAGAATGGAAGGACCCACAGTTACTAGGAGGAGGACTGCACTAACCTTTCTTTCGTGTTTTATTTTTGTGATTTAAAACAGCTCAGAACCTAAACACTCAGTGTGCTGTTGTGAGGCCGGTCTGATTTTTCCGTGGTGCTGATTCCTGGGTGGGAAAGTCGCAGTCATTCTGCAGTTCCGCTCTGCTCCACGGTCCCGATTCCTGTGGCTCAGCCCACACAGGGTCGGGGAGCAGCGTGGCAGGGGAACGACAGGGAAGAGTCCGTGCCCAACCGGTTCTCCAGAGAGCGAGACTGAGCCTCATGGAGCTTAGTTGCTCTTAGAGCCATGACGGCTACTCAGCTCTCACCCCCACCCCCATGTGAGCCTCTTTCCACAAAAGTAGTTCAAGGACAGCAATTAATTCTACCTTGCTGATCGCTTTCCTGGCCATGAATTTAGATACAAAACCACAAACTACTTGAGCAAAAAAAAAAAAAAAAAAAAA